TCAACTGGGTAATTATTCTGGGCTTTCTGCCTGATTCTCCTTTATGACAGTGTGGTGTGAAGTTCAATGGAAAAATTTGAATTTTAGGCAGACAGTATTTTAGGTACTACTGTAGAAAGAGTTATCTCAAAAATTTTCTTACATGCCTTTCTTAGCCAAAATATATGTGTGATTTGATAATACTGGTATTTCCTATATAGCTGTGGAGGGTTGGATGTAACTTGGGAATTTGGAGATAACAGTTTGAATAGTTCAACCCAGAGTTTCTCTGCCTTTTGTATGGGTCATCCCATGATCCATAGCATTGAGAGTGTTCATTTTTAGTATTCATGCAGCCTACGAGGCCTGGCGTGGCAGAGCATGCCATTTTTCCTCTTTTTCCTCCTCCTTCTCGCCCTTACTCTTCCTATTCAGGGAAAATGAATAGGGATTTTTCATATATTATTTCTATAGGCTAACTCCTCCTGTAAAAGCAGTTTGCCTATTTCTAGTTTTTGATGGTTCTTCCTTTGTGCTTTTATGTTCATAAACCAAGCTGTTTGATTTAGAGTCTGTCAAGAGTATTAGAAAATGTTTATTTTATTCATAGTATATAGGTCTATGCAAATGTACCCTTTTTATGAAATAATACCTTTCATGTCAATGATCTGTGCCTTTTACTTTCAATCATAAGTGGTAATTAAAAGAGCTAGATCAGGTTGGGCACAGTGGCTCATGCCTGTAATCCCAGCCCTTTGGGACACCGACATGGGCGGATCACCTGAGGTCAGGAGTTCGAGACCAGCCTGGCCAACATGGAGAAACCCCGCCTCTACTAAAAATACAAAAATTAGCTGGGCGTGGTGGCACGCGCCTGTAGTTCCAGCTATTCAGGAGGCTGAGACAGGAGAATGGCTTGAACCTGGGAGGCAGGGGTTACAGTGAGCCAAGATTGCATCACTGTACTCCAGTCTGGGTGACAGAGCAAGACTCAGTCTCAAAAAAAAAAAAAAAGAATTTGATCAGTGGTTCTCAACTCTGATTATATGTTAGAATGTTTCAGGATCTTTTAAAAAATACATAGATATATTAGCTTGACTCCCCTATCCCCCTTAGGAAAAATCAGATTTAATTGATCTGGGTGTGGGACTGGGCATCAGGATTGTTTTCTGTAGTGCCATATGTTATTCTACTATGCAGCCAGGGCTGAAAACCACTCTGGATCAGTGGTTTTTAACATGTAGTCCTTGGACCAGCAGCATCACCATCACCTGGAATGTGTAGAAATGGAGACTCTCAGGCCTACCCTGGACCTACTAAAGCTGACCAGTTTAGGGGTGGGGCCAAGTGGGGTGGGGCCAAGTAAACTGTGTTTCCACAAGCCTCTGGTCAATCTAATGCATGTTAAAACTTGAGAATCACTGCTCTAGGTCATCTAAGCATTTATAACAAAGCCTCCTTTTGCATAAGTCCAACCTTGTGGGCTCCACAATGCTCCAGAATGGCTCTAGACTTGAAAGTAGCTAAAGAAGGTAGGCGGGGGAAGGGAAGAAGCTGCCCATAGTTGAGAAGTGCTATAAAGTATATTGGATATGTTACCATTTTGTAAATCATAAAATAGAATGAAAATGTATCCTGACTGGGTATAGTGGCTAATTCCTGTAATCCCAACACTTGGGAGGCCGAGGTGGGCAGATCACTTAAGGCCAGGAGTTTGAGACCAGCCTGGCCAATGTGACAAAACCCCATATCTACTAAAAATATAAAAATTAGCCAGGTGTGGTGGCACGTGCCTGTAATCCTAGCTGCTCAGAGGCTGAGGTATGAAAATCACTTGAACGCAGGAGCGGGAGGTTGCAGTGAGCTAAGATTGTGCCACTGTACTCCAACCTAGCCATAGAGCAAGACTCAGTCTCAGAAAAAAAGAAAGAGAATGAAAATGTACCTGATTGACCATCAGTGCTTATTAATGACTGTTCCTTTCTACTACTAAATAACTATATATAGGAGAAAGAATAAGACAGGAAAGAAGCAAGTAAGGGATGGTGGAAGAAAGGTGAACAAAGAACGGCCACCAAGAATGGAATAACCAAGTTGTCCAGAGGGGCAGAAACCACCCAGAGGACAGTGACATTTAAGATACAGAACCTCTCTTTGCACATGTTTTGTACTTCAAAAAGTAGAGCACAGATGCTCAGTGGTACCATTCAGCATCTGTGCTGAACTTTTTACTTTTTAAGACTGCACCCTTGCAGCAGTACAGTAAGTGGGCCATGGATTTGGACTGCTTATGTTAAAGCAGCTTTGGCTTGATGCTCTGGACGATTTACTAACTTATGTAAGTCTCAGTTTCTGAAGTTATAAAATGGAATGAAATCACCTCTCTTATACGGTAGCAAGGATGAAATGAACATGTGTAAAGTGCTTGATAGACAGTCTCATCATCCAACATTTTTTTTTTTTTTTGAGATGAAGTCTCGCTCTGTCGTCCAGGCTGGAGTGCACTGGTGTGGTCTCGGCTCACTGCAACCTGAGCCTCCTGGGTTCAAGCACTTCTTGTGCCTTAGCCTCCCAAGTAGTTGGAATTACAGGGGTATGCCACTTGTCACTTTGGTCTTGGATTTCCAGCCTCTAGAACTGCAGGAAAATTAATTTCTGTTGTTTAAGCCACCCAGTCTGTGATATTTTGTTATAGCAACACCTGGCTAATTTTTGTATTTTTAGTAGAGGCAAGATTTCACCATGTTGGCCAGGCTGATGTCGAACTCCTCACAGCCTCAGCTGATTCACCTGCCTCAGCCTCCCAAAGTGCTGGGATTACAGGCGTGAGCCGCCACGCCCGGCCTCAGTCAACTTTTAAAAAATGTATTGTGGCAAAATATACATAAGATAAAATTTACCAATAGTGACATTGTACAACCAACATCACTGTCTAGTTCCAGAACATTTCCATCATCCCAAAAGGAAGTCCCATACCCATAAAACAGTTAATCTCTGTTATGTACTGAATTGCCTCTCCCCCAGGATTCATATATTGTGTTGTCCTAACTCCTATGTGATTGTATTTGAAGATAGTACCATTAAAAAGTAATGTTGTTTGAGGACATAAGGGTGGAACCCTAATCCAGTATGACTGGTGTCCATATAGGAAGAGACACCAGGAGTGCTTGTGCACAGAGGAAAATCCACATGAAGACATATCAAGAAGGCAGCCTTCAGCAAACCTGAAAGAGAGGCCTCACCAGAAACCAATCCTGCTGTCACTTTGGTCTTGAATTTCTGGCCTCTAGAACTGCAGAAAAATTAATTTCTGTTGTTTAAGTCACCCAGTCTGTGATATTTTGTTATAGCAACTCATGTAAAATAATGTACTGTCCATTTCCTCCCCACCCAATCCTGGCAACCACTTTCTGCTTTCTGTTTTTATAGATTTGCCTATTCTGGATATTTCATATACAGGAAATCATATAGTATGTGGCCTTTGGTGTGTAGCTTCTTTCACTTAGCCTAGTGTTTCCATCCATGTTATAGCGTGTATCAGTATTTCGTTTTTATGGCTGAAAATTATTCCATTGTATGAATATACCACATTTAGGTTATTCATTCATTCATTGATGAATATTGGGGTTATTTCTACTTTTTGGCTATCTATATAATGCCACTATGAACATTTGTGTACAAAGTTTTGTTTGAATACTTGTCTTTATTATTTCTTTGAGGTGTATATTCAGGAGGAAATTGTTGGGTCATTCTATGTTTAATTTATTGAGGAACCACCAAATTGTTTTCCATAACAGTTATACAATTTCACATTCCCACCAACAGTATACAAGGAGTTTCTCTATATCCTTGCCAACAATGTTATTTTTTATTTTCAAAATTTAGCCATCAAAAATCTTTTTAAAAAGTATATTAATTAGAGGTCTAAACTTTCTTTAGGGCAGTAGTTCTTTATTAGGGATTCACATCATAATTACTAGTGGAGCTTTTAAATATATCCATGACCAGGATCCTTCTTAGACTTTTTGAATAGAGGTCTTCAGAGGTACAGCCCTGAACTAATACTCCTCGTTAAGAACCATTGCCAAAGGTAGTGGTTCTCAGCATATGGTCTGGATATCTCTGGGGCTTCACATCCTCTCAGGGGAATCCTTGAAGTTGAAACAATTTTCATAATACTAAGACAGTAATTGCCTTTTTCATTCTCATTGTCTCAAGAGTATATATACAGTGTTTTCCAGTCTTTGTGGCATGTGATAGTGCATCAGATTGAATGCAAAAGTAGATATGAGAATCTAGCCACCTTTTGTTAAGCCAGACATTAAAGAAACTTATAAAAGTATAAAGCAGTGTCACTCCACTTACTAATTTTTTTGTTTTGGGAAAAAATTATGTTTCATAAAAAGTATGTTATTTGTAACACATAATGGACGTGTCATTGTTTTTGTTTTGTGTGTTTTGTTTTTTTTTTTTTTTTGAGACAGGGTCTCGCTCTGTCACCTGGGCTGGAGCACAGTCGCATTATCATAGCCCACTGCAGCCTCAACCTCCCAGACTCAATCAGTCCTCCTGCCTCAGCCTCCCAACTAGCTGGGACTAAAGGTGCATGCCGCCTTGCTTGGCTGATTTTTGTATTTTTTGTAGGGATGGGGTTTCACCATGTTGCCCAGTCTGGTCTCAAATCCTGGCCTCAAACGATCCACCCGCGTCAGCCTTCCAAAGTGTTTGGATTACAGGCATGAGCCACCGTGTGCGGCCTTGTCATTATTTTTAAGTAACACAAACATAGTTTTTATAGTAAACATTGGTAGATACAACCTAGATAAACCAAATTTCTTTGAGATCTACAGTAATTTGAAGTGTAAAGGGATCTTTACAACATGGTGAGACCCCCATCTATAAAAAGATTTTTAATTAGCTGGGCTGGGTGGCACATAGTTGTGGTCTTCGCTACTCAAGAGGCTGGGGCAGGAGGATTACTTGAGCCCAGGAGGTTGAGGCTGCAGTGAACTGTGTTTGTGCCCCTGCACTCCAGCCTGGGTGATACAGCAAGACCCTGTCTCAAAAAAAAAAAAATTAAGCAAATGCCAACTGTATCCCAATGGAAAGGAAGGAGACAAAAAGTAACTTTGATCCATTTGTTCTCTTACCATATAGTTGGTATTAGGTTAACCTTTTGATGTATTTTATTTCATTTCATCTTTATAATAACCTCCATGACATTTATATACTCACCCTCATTTTTGCATGGGGAAATTGAGTCTTACAGAAATTAAGAACTTAGTTTGTTCCTAAGTGGAGGAGCCATGATTTCAACTGAGGTCTTTAGACTACATGTTCTTAATCAGTACTGTAACCTTAAAAAAGTGAGTCATCTGGACAGGACTGGAGTCCAGGAAATTGTTGATAATTCAATGCCATAATGACTTCTCTACCTCGTAGTATCAGGCCTAAGAAAAGGGAACCTTTGAAATATTTGTAGACTTGAATGACACTTAAATGCTATGTAGTACATGTGACTGAAGTAAAGTACTGACATGTTGTTCTCTTTAGTGGTCCTCAGAGCAAGGACCTCTAAATATGAGAAATATAAGAGGGGTAATCTCAACACGAGTAAGTGCAGTTGATAGAATTATATACCTGTTTTTGAAAGGTTTTTTGTATAATTATATACCTGTTTTTGAAAGGTGTCTTATTGAGACATAAGGATAAATACTCAATTAGAAAGAACGGATTTGTGACCTTTTAGAATAATGTTATTTTCTAAGACCCCATATCCAGTCAGTCAGTCCTGAAGAGTCCACTGTGGCAGGAATGAAGTGGCATTTCACTCAGGCAGGAGCCAAAGAATCATGTACTGCTGTGTTTACATAGAATAGACGAGGATAATTATTTTCTTGTAGTAATATTACAGTTAATTTAAAAATTTTTCTAATTAGAGCAGCTTACCCTCTCTAGTCCTTTTCAAGGATTTTCTTGTTGACAGAGCAAAAATATGTGACAGTTTTAAAAAACTGATGCTGTTATTGTCTAGTGCCTTTTGTGAACAATAATTTCACAGAACAGCAGTATTTTCTGTTGAGTAATTGATATTCTATTTACCTTCCTCTTCTACCCTTAATCCCATCCCAGTGCTGTTGCAAATATTCATTTGGGAAGCTGGGTGCCATAGTGTGCATGTGTAGTTCCACTTTCTTGGGAGCCTGAGGCAGGAGGTCACTTGATCCCAGGAGTCCAGTCTGGGCAACATAGGAGACCCCATCTCTTAAAAAATGCAATTTGGGGATCAGCATATTTTATAGAAAATGAATTACTTATTTGACAAATATTGACTAGTACATGTTGGGCATTGGATTAAGACTGAGGATGAGGATGCCATAATGAACCAAAATATATATATATAGAGAGAGAGAGAGAGAGAGTCACTCATGAAATTTCCAGTCTAATGGAGATGGATGTTAAATAATCACATCAATTGATGTAAATGTTTTATTTTGAAAGGTGCTGTGAACAGTAAGTAGTACATGCTATTATTAAAGAGCATATTGGTTTTTTCACCAAACCAACAGAAAAAAAAAAGAGCATATTGAGAAGATTGGCCTAGGAAGGTTGGGAGGTGACTGAAATCAAAGTGGAAGCTGGGGGGAGGCATGAGATCAGTTTGTGACAAGTGAAAGGACCAAATAAGCAGATGGATATATACTTTTGGAACTTAGAGAGGAGGGCTGGTTAGAAGGTATAAATATGTGTATGCAAGTAAGTGGTTAACTGAAATCATTGGCCAAGAGAGATCATATAAGGAAAAGTATCATGAGAAAAGTTAGAGGTTCTAGGAGTAACTTTGGAGGAATGCTACTGCTTAATGAACAGCTAAAGTGGCATGCAAAAGGAGGCAGAAATAGAGGTCAGAGCAGTATTTAGAAGGAAAACTAGGAGAATACTAGGAAAATAGTGTTAAATGTTTCAAGAGGTGAGGGTATTTCCATGTGTATCAGATAAAATCTGGTCACTGCTTACTGTGGTTACAAGGAAGGCCCTACATGTTCTGGTCCTTTCCACCATCTCTTACCATTGATCCTGCTACTGGCCTACACCTGTTCTTTAAATTCTTTAAACATATCAGGCTCCTTCCTACCTTAGGACCTATGTGTTGGTGTCTGCTTTGCTAGAATGTTCTTTTCACATGTCATCTCCTCAGATGGTTAGCTAATGTTCTACCCCCTTTAGCAGGATTGTTGTCAGACTCTGTCAAACTTGGTGTTTCATCATACAATTTAGATTAAATTTTGCTTGGGTCTCAAGTTCAGTTCCAGATAAAGTATTAAGAACATGTTAAAGGAAATTATTTGGCACAAGTTTTTGGCAATAAAGGTAAGAATTTTTAGAATTTAGAATGCACCCTCCCTAAGGCATCTTGACATGACTTGATTATTGAAATGGTGAAGGCTGCATCTCTTTTATAATCCCTTTCCACCAAGTGTATTGCATGATAGAGGGATAAGGGAAAGCTGAAAAGGAGGTATCTGGAATCTACTCTGTTAGGCAGGTAGAAATAATGAATGCAAAATATGTCACAGTATTGACAATCCAGTGAACACAAAACAGTAGTAAAATAGACGATCATTTTCTGAATGATGAGAAAAGCACTTGGCAAAAACTTTTAAAATCCAGTTTAAAAGTTTTCTGGGAGTTCATTTAAGGTCAATGAACTTTTACTAAACTAACAGTAGAAAAGTGATACGGAGGTTGGGGGTGGTTTAGGAAGGGTGTAGTGAAAGTTGCTGATCAATCTTAAGCTGAATAAGGTCTTCCCAAACTAAAGAACAGCAGTTCCTCTGTTCTTTCAGAATGTTAAGATTCGCTGTGAAATTTCAGGGTCAGAAAGAATAAATGGCCAGGCAATCAGTGACCACTTTATATTAATCTGTTTGCCATCTTGAGGGCTTCATAAGACTCTACACACTGGAAAAAGTGAACTTTGTAGAACTTTTTTTTTGCAATTTTGCTTTTTATTTTCCAAAGAGCCATTTTTGTAGCTATTTTGGTTGATGTGTATTGAATGTACTTTTGTTATACTAAACATTAACTCCAAGCTCATGGATTTTCCTTATATAGCTTTCCTGTCTTCATAATTTGGCACAAGAATGATTCTTAGTGCCGAGTGTTTTCTTTTTCTCCTGGTCTCTTCTCAGAGCCATACTGGCCTTTCATCTGGTTTTGTATCTTATTTTTGAAATGGCCTTGTTCTCAGATTTTATTTTAAATGTTGGTTGGTTCAATCTTTGCTGCAAATGGCTTCCATGTCTGTGGAAGATAGGAAGAAAGAAAGAAATCAACAAATTAAACTAGAAGTGATTCCACAGGCACCTAGAGACAAAATTATTGCAAAAGATAATAGAGATCAATGCCAAGCTGCCCCCAACCCCAATTCCTATAAGAATTTGAAGACCAGAAAAGCTAGATAACTTGCTAAAGATTACAAAGTATTGATGAGAATATGTCATTCTCATTATTTTCATGAAGATAACGTTCTAGAGAGCAGTATTTTAACACATAAAACAAGCTATTCATAATATGCCAGACTGCTTACCCTAGTTATCTTTGAGAAGGGGGAATATACTAAAAATTTTTCTTTCTAATTTTCTGAGTTTGCAATGTTGTTTTGAGCATCATTATTGTTAATATCATGGTTAAGGCTATGAGCATTAGAGTCAGAAATGTGGATTTGAGTCTGGCTTCCATTTACTAAGCTATGACTTTGACTTTTGGGAAAGCTGCTTAACCTCTCTGAACTGCAGTTTCTTATTCTGGAAGATAAATGTATGAATACATACTTAGATTGAGTTAACTATGAAGGGATTAACTCTAAGGTTCTTGGCCATTTAGTGCTTGGCCCACGATGATCACTCCATAATGGTGGCCACTAGTACTGCTACTGCTACTGCTACTGCTACTATTACGTATAATAGAACACTAGATACTAAACAATGTCTTTGGATACTGACATAGTGTGATCATTATTGAATTATTTAAACATTTATCTGCTAAAAGATTAGATGCTTTCTTATGCAATTTTTCAACATACCTTCCAGTTCATTTTATCACTCTGTAACTTCAGAGGAAGCACTGTGGTCATTAGTTCTTGCTCTATCAAAATGATATTTAACTCTTGGATACCTCAATCAGAGCCTGATCCTTACTATAATTGAAATAAAAGTTATTGAGCCTTTTCTGCATTTTACACTAGAGACCTTGCCCTGTGTTGCCAGGGAAAATCATTAACCATTGTAAAATTTAAAAATTCCTATTGCTGCTCATCTTTGAGCATCCTATGCTCCATAAGTATACACACAATTTCTTGTGATAAAGTACCAGAAATGTCATTTTACTTATTTAGATGTACTATACTATTGCCAACCTACCTAGAGATGGCACAGTCAGAGATTGGAAACTTAGGGCCTTCTAATTATTGAATTTATTGTTTGGACCAGACCTGGATTGTTTGACCCCTTTTAGGTACTGAGAGAGCCTCGGTGACATGTATCTGAGTATTTTTCTGTGTTTGTAATGTTACTGTTTGTGAGGATGTGCTTTTTAGTTTACAACTGAGGAAGCCTATCATCATCATTAGTACTCATTCATTCAGCATGAGCACCTGTTTTATCTTAGGCACTAGAGATGCGAATATGAATAAAACATGGTTCCTGTTCTGGAAAATGTTATAGTGTTTTGGGGGAGAAAGATAAATAGTTACATTTCAAAGTGATATGTTCTATATAATAAACATGAAAAAGTGTTATCATAATATACAAGAAGGAGCAATAAATTTGGGGCAGTGGTAAGGATTCAGAGAGGAAGTGACAGTTGAGCCAAGTCTTAAAGGATGAATGGGAATTTTCCATTTGGAGGGTAGAGGAGCAGTGGAGGAGGCAATACAGGGTAGGGAACAGCCTATGCAAAAACCTAAGGGCATGCGTGGGGCACGCTAGGAAGGGAGAAGGTCTTCAGAGTGGCTGGAGGAAAGGGTGTGTGGGAAAGAACTGAGTTGAAATTAGGAGTTGGAATTTTATTCTTTGGTACTAAGGAATCATTGAAGATTTCAAAATTAGGGCTGACATAATCAGATTTGAGTTTGGAAACCTGTAGTTTGGGACTGGAGGAAGACAGGTGCCAGACACCAGTTTAAAAGCTGTTGTTTTCTAAGCAGGAGACAAAGGTTTACACTGACAGTAGCTGTGGAGATAGAGAAGAGCTGCGAGATTTCAGAGTTTTCCGAGATGTAAACAACTAAATTTTGTGATCAAAATGATAAGGGCCATGTGATAAGTTGGGGAATGTGGGATCTGTCTTGGTTGAGTAGGTGGATTAACTGAGATTAACAGAGCTGGAGGAAATATAAAAATAAAGTCAGGACTGTTCATTTTGTCTTTTGTTTTGGGGAACAGGGTCAAATTTTTCATTTTGCACAAGGTAGGTTTAGTCTTTTCAGAAACATTCTAGTAGGCAAGTCTGTAGCTGAATCTTGGAAGAAAGGCAACCATAGTAATATTTTTGAGCTCCTAGTGTTTATTTTTTCAATAAAAACTAAGGTTCTCAGAGGTTAGCAGATCATGGTCTTAGGAAGGTAGCTGTAGAACCAAAATATAAATTCCTAAGCTTCTACCAATGGGGTCTTACTGAAATGGCAATTGAGAGAAAAATAAATCCCTTGGTTTTTACCATAGTTACTTTGTTTCCTTTCCCAGAGTATCTTTACTAAAAAAAACAAACAAACAAACAAAACTAATATATAGATACATAATCCATCTATTTTCTACACTAAGTTTTCTGATCTTAATATTATTTGGCTAAATGACAGATTAGGTGTGCTCAGGATCATAGCTAAGGAACCTCAAACAGCTTGTTTTGTTCTAACAAAACCTTAACATTTAAAGATTAAGTCCTCAAGAAATATTTATTACTTCATACATGCTTGATCTAATCTCAGCTGTTACTTGGTTTGAATGTGAGGGAAACAATAAGTATTAAAGAATGACAGATGTAGTGTCTACTTCACTATAGGAATTTAAGAATAAGGGATCTTTCTCCCCATTTGGATGGTTGAGCTATAGTCCCCCGGAATCAAGGGAATAAAGTAGTTCCTCATAATCTCTCACCTCCAAATTTCAGGGGTCATTCGCCATTGATTGAAAGACTTGGGTGGTCGCGAAGGACTTGAGTGGCCCTTGAACAAGCTGAACTGCTATATGTATCTGATGTTCTTTTTTCATGTGTTTAAAAAATAAATGAACACACCTTATCTACATGAAATTCTAGTTTTCGCTGTTATTATCTAGGTTTTCTGTGTGGTTTCTTGGGCTGTGGTGTTTTTTTCTTTACTTTGTTCTTTATTGCTGTGAAATGTAGTTGCCTGCTGTTTAAGGCAGCTGCAGTAGAGTGTACCCAGAAGTGGTTATGTTTCTATATTTAGTAAAACCATAGGATTTGTGAAGCAGTTGCAGATTCCTTCAGGATAAAATGGTTTCTATAAATGTAACTTTTTTTTTCTTTTTTCTTTTTATTTTTTATTTTTTATTTTTTTATTTAGACAGGATCTCACTCTCGCCCAGGCCAGAATGCAGTGGCATGAACATGGCTCGCTGTGGCCTCAACCTCCTGGGCTCAAACGATCCTCCTGCCTCAGCCTCCCAAGTAGCTGAAACTATAGGCACAGGCCATCATACCCAGCTATTTTAAAAGATTTTTTGTAGACGTAAATTTTCACCATGTTTCCCAGGCTGGTCTTGAACTCGTAAGTTTAAGCAGTCTTCCCAGGAAGTGCTAGGATTACAGACCTGAGCCACTGTGCCCAGCCTCAATGTAACATTTTTAATGAAACTATTATTATCACCCATTAGAGAAATATATAGCAGCAAATATGTGTGAGTCTGTGGACAAGACAGAGGCACACGAAGCTTGTTTTTATTTCCTTAAGAGCTCGGTGAATATTTTAAATCCTTAAAATTAATCATGTGAATTCTATTTTTATTCTCTTAATCTTGAATTGCAGAGCTTTTACTCAAGTGTTTACCTTTGGTCCGACCTTCCGAGCTGAAAATTCTCAGAGCCGGAGGCACCTGGCAGAGTTTTATATGGTAGAAGCAGAGATTTCTTTTGTTAACAGCCTTCAAGATCTCATGCAGGTAGGTACACAAGTTTTAAAATAGCAGGTATCTGTGACATTAAAATGTTTCTGTATATATTTTTACCTCAGACATTTATGTGTTACAGGTATTCATAAAGTGAAAAGAAGGGAGAACTACTTAATAAACACTTACTAAATGCCTTTACTGTAATAGTTTAAAATATAAGAGTCAGACAGATTTAAGTTTATATCCCAGCTCTGCCATTAGCTTTGCTGTGAAGTTCCCTGACTTTCATGATCTTTAGGTTCCTCAACTCTAAAATGAGAAATATTATACTTACTCCTAAGGTTATGTGAGGGTAAATGGAATTGTGTATATAATATAAAGCACATAGCACGAGGTGTGGAACACAAGCAGGTTCACTAAATAGTAACTCTGATTTGCTAGGAAAATAAACCAAGCATCTTTATAATTATATAAATGTCTGTAATACTTACGTAAACCCCTATGTAGCTATATTAGAAAGCATCCACAGGAGCTGTCAGCTCAGTTAAGCAGGGGATAAGGCTAGAGAGAAGGTCATGGTCAGGCAGCAGATCATGAAAGACCTCGTGTTTCAACGCCATGGTAAGGAGTTTGAACTTTACCCAAAATTTAAGGAGCAAGAGTTCTAAGTTGGAAAATGAAGGTCAGAGCTGTATTTTAGACACATCTTTTTAGCAGCAATATGAACAATGATTTAGAGGTAGATGAGAGTAGAGAGGCCTTGTTAGGAGGCTGTAGACATAATCCAGACACTGTACACCAGTGGAATTGGATGGGCCAAGATTTGATGCTTAACCACTCACGTGCTATGTGACCAACTTAGACAAAGGACTTAATCTCTCTAGGCCTCAGTGTCCTCATCAAAATTCCAATACATAGGAATAAAAATTCCTACTTTATAGGCTACTTGAGAAGATTGGACAGATTATATATATAGTATGTATCTATTATATACATATATATGAAGTACTTAGCATAATTTATGGCACTTAATAAATACCCAGGAATTTTTTTTTTTTTTTTTTTTTTTTGAGACGGAGTCTCGCTGTGTCTCCCAGGCTGGAGTGCAGTGGCGTGATCTCGGCTCACTGCAAGCTCCGCCTCCTAGGTTCACGCCATTCTCCTGCCTCAGCCTCCCAAGTAGCTGAGACTACAGGCGCCCGCCACCACGCCCGGCTAGTTTTTTTTTGTATTTTTAGTAGAGACGGGGTTTCACCATGTTAGCCAAGGTAGTCTCGATCTCCTGACCTCGTGATCCACCCGCCTCGGCCTCCCAAAGTGCTGGGATTACAGGCTTGAGCCACCGCGCCTGGCCATACCCAGGAATTGTTAACTGTTAAATTATGAATTGTCTATTCAGAAGCATTGTGGTCACTATCTTGTTTGGATTTGTAATTATGGGATGTTTATTTTAGTGATTTTCATCAGCTCTCGTTTCTATTCATTTATATATCTTTCTACTCTTACCCAGTAAATGACCTATTTCCACTTAAAACATAAATACCATATATATCACAAATAGAACAGACTAATTATTTTATTACCCTGTCTTGAGTTGGATTTCCTAGTAAACAAAACTCTAGGGCAGAGATGTGTGGGCAGGGGCGTTATTGGGGAGTGCTCTTGAGAACAGCATTCGTAAGGAAAGGAAAAATGTCACATTGAACAGTAGGAAGAGTGAACTGTGATGCACTTACAAACAGAGGCCTTAGCCTCTTCTTGGAACTGGAATGGTCCTTTCCAGTTGTCCCATCGGAAGGCAGGGGTGTAGCACTTTGTGCCTTCCCATATCAACCAGTCATTGGACGTGATTAGCCACTGGAAGGGGCATAACCTTGAGTAAGGCAGCACCTTTGGATCTTGACAGTTCCTGATGAAGCACTCAACTATAAACCGTCAGCAGTTAATAATATTCCTGGATTCCTGTATAGGGCACCTGGCCCTGAAGGGGCATTCTGACCACACAATGTAGCATTTCACTTCCATACCCTCTTCACACTTCCCACTGAGCATTTTGGATCAGTCCCCATGAGACATTTTGGGTTATCCCTATTAGGGAATGGGCAGGGAAGGGAGAGAGTGGTCATTACTAGCATGTAGTTGGTAAAGGCAGGAGTGCTATTCAGCAATCTGAAGTGCACAACCACCTTCTCCCCAGTAATTAGCTGGCCCAAAATATCAGTAGTGCCGCTGTTGAACAACCATATTCTGGACTGTAGGAATTCAGGATCTGAGCTTCAGAAGGAGTCAGTGTGCATTCCTTAAGTAGCTTTCAGTGTGCATTCATTAAGTAGCTTTCACCTCCTAATTCTTTATTAATTTTTGTTCTACAGTTATATTTTACCATATGACAGGGTTGCAAGATATTGTTTATTTTTCTCAGTTATATTAGTAAAAACATTGAGGAATAAATAGGTTAAGCTACATACCTTTTTAGTAAGTGTGAGCAGAATTCAGTTACAGATTTTCACCTTTGCATTCAGTCAACAATGCCATGAAATTATTTTATTCTGCTCTAAATATTTCAAATGGAGCATTTCAGTCTAAACTTAATGTTTATAATTAGTCATTTCTTTATTTCATTTTCTTTTCCTTTCTTTCTTTCCTTTCTTTTCTTTTTTTTCTTTCTTCTTTCTTTTTTTGAGACAGGGTCTTACCCTTGTCTCCCAGGGTGGAGCGCAGTGGTGCACTCTTAGCTCACTGCAGCCTCCGCTTCTGGGCTCAAGCCATCCTCCCACCTTAACCTCCCGAGTAACTAGTTCTATAGGCACACACCACCATGCCCAACTAATTTTTTGGTAGAAGTGGGGTTTCACCAGGTTGCCCAGGTTGGTCTTAAACTCCTGAGCTCAAGCCATCCGTCTGCCTCAGTCTCCCAAAGTTCTGGGATTACAGGCATGAGTCAGCATGTCCCACCTCATTTTCTCTTTTTCTTCCATTTCTTCACTTTGTTTTTATCTGTAGATGTCTTGACTGATGGATTTTTAGGCTAGTTTCTTAAGCTTTAGTGATTAATGTCCAGGAATACTGTGAACCAGAAGATCACACATTTTATTTAGAACATTATCTTGTACTACCTTAGCTGGTGTTATCTCAGATATATTCCAAAATAAGTCGGGAACTAATTAAAAAGGGTTGGACTACCCCAGAGAGATCAGTGATCCCAGAGAAAACAGTTACTTGTTCAGTGGCTTTAGATGGCGTGGGCCTGGGCAAGGCTGTAGCTTCAGTGACATTACTCCCTGAGACTTGCATAATAGCTATCTGAAGCAGTTTTGATTTATCCGTTCACCAGTTGAAGGACATTTAGTTTATTCTGTTTTTGAAAGTAACAAAGTTGCCGTAAATATTTATGTGCAGGTTTTGTATAAATGTAAAATTTCATTTCTCTCTGTTTTTTTGTTTTTTGAGGCAGGGTCTCACTCTGTCACCTAGGCTGGAGTGCAATGGTGCAGTCGTAGCTCACTTTAGCCATGAACTCCTGGAGCTCAAGTGATCCTCCCACCTCAGCCTCTCAAGAAGCTAGGACTACAGGTGCTATTTTTAAAATTTTTTGTAGAGACAGGATCTCACTATGTTGCCCAGGCTGGTCTCAAACTCCTGGGCCCAAGGGATCCTCCTGCCTCTCATCCTCCTAAAGTGTTGGGATTACATGTGTGAGCCACAGCCACCCAGACTGATTTCTCTTGGGTAAATTCCTAGGAGTGGGATTACTAGGTCAGTGTTTGATGTGATGTTTTATAGTTTTCATTATACAGATCTTTTATGTCCTTGGTTAAATTTACTCCTAAGTGGAGTTATCTCTTGGTATCCAGAAGGGATTGGTTTCCGGACCCTCCCCACTCCCCGCCATTATGGATACCAAAGTCCATGATTACTTATGTTCCTTATATAAATTATAAAGGTTCTTTCATTTTATAGGAAGGAAATCTGTATTCCAAAGTGACTGTTCCATCTTGCATTCCTACAGCAATGTATGGAAGTTTTACTTGTTCTAGTTCTTCATCAGTACCAAGTACTGTCAGGCATGTGTGGTGGTTTTAAGCCATTCTAAGAGCTGTGTATTAGTATCTCATTGTGGTTTAAATTTGCATTTCCCTAATGCTTATTGATGTTGAGCATCTCTTCGTGTACTTACTGGCCATCTATGTGTCATCTTCTGTGAAATGTATTTTTATTGCCCATTTTCCATATGGCTTGCTTGTTTTTTTCACTGTTGAGTTTGGAGAGTTCTTTATATATTCTAGCTACTATTCCTTGTTGGATGTGTGGTGTCTGACTGTGTTCTCCGAGTCAGTAGCTTGGCTTTTCATTCTCTTAATTTTGATGACATCTAGTTTATCATTTTTTCTTTAATGGATTGTGCTAAGACTTGATTTTTGTGTCAAGTCTAAGAACTCTTTACCTAGCCCTAGATCTCAAGGATTTTATGATGTTTTATAGCTTTAGCTTTATGTTTTTCATGTAAGTCTATGATCCATTTTGAGTTAATTTTTGTGTAACGTGAGACATAGAAGTTCTTGTCCCTTCCTTTCCTTTCCTCTCTTGTCTTTCCCCTTTCCTTTCTACCTCTGGATAACTTCTTGCTCCAGCACCATTTGTTGAAAAGGCTGTTAGCTAAACTTCGTCTATTGAATTGCTTTTGGGTCTTTGTCAAAAATCAGTTGGTCTTACATATATGGATCTATTTCTGAATCCTCTATTCTGTTCCATATTCTATTTAATATTTTACCACTTCAAGTAAAACAACAGTCTTACTACTATATATTTCCCTTTGCCTTCACCCCTTTGTCTTATAGTTGCCATATGCATTACAAGTTCTATGTGTTAATTTCCTATTGCTGCTGTAACACGTCACCACAAACCTGGTGGGTTAAAACAACTCGAATTTATTATTGTATTCTTCTGGAGGTGAGAAGTCCAAAGCGGATTTTACTGGTCTAAAATCCAACGCTGCTAAAAGGTGTCAGCAGAGTTGCATTCCCCTTGGAGGCTTCAGGAGAGAATTAGGTCCCTTGCCTCTTGCATTTTCTAGAGACTACCTGCATTCTTTGGCTCACAGACCTTAAAAACCAGCAAGGTATCATCTTCAAATCTTTCTCTCACCCTCATGCCTCCCTCTTTCACGTAAAGGATCCTTGTGATTACATTAGTCCCACCACATAATCTAGAATAATCTCATCATTTAAAGCTTAATCACACATACACAGTTTCTTTTACCAGGTAGGCTAACATACTCATGGGTTCTGGAATTGGAGCATGGACAGCTTTGGCAGAGGGATAAATATTATTCTGCCAATCACAATTCACATACGTTGAAAACCTCTGCTGATGTTTGAATTTTTGCTCTCAATCACCATATGTATTTTAAAGAATTTTAGAAGAGAAAAAAACATCTGTTGTATTTATCTACATTTGGTAGTAATAGTAAATTACTGTTTCTGTTGTTCTTTCATTACTCAAGTTTCAGATTTCCTTCTCTGGTCACTTTCCTTCAGCCTAAAGAATTTCCTTGAACATTTAAAAGCATTTCTGCTGGCAATCACTTCTCTTAGTTTTTCTTCATTTGATAATTTTTAAATTTTATTGTCATTTCTGAAAGATGCTTCCACAGGATATAGAATTTTGGCTTGACAGTTATTTTCTTTCAGCACTTTAAATATAGTCTATCTTTTGACCTCTGTAGTGTTTGAGAATAAATCCAGTCTTGAATTATTGTTCCAGTGTAAAGGGTCATTTTTCTCTGGTTTCTTTAAAGATTTTTTTCTTTGTCTTTGGTTTTCAGCTCATGGATTATGATGTGTCTAGGTATAATTTTCTTTGAGTTTATCCTGTTTGTGGTTTAGCGAGCTCCTTGAATATGTCTTTAGCCAACTTGGAGTTTTCAGCCATTATTTTTTCACATGTTTTTTTCTGTGCCTTTTTTTTGTCTTTTCTGCTTCTGGTACTCCAAAAACACGAATATAAAACCTTTTGATATCGTCCCATGGTGCTGTGATGCTCTGCTTATTATTAATGAGTCTGTCTTGCTTGCTTGCTTGGTTTCTTGCTTTCTTGCCTTCCTGCCTTCTTGCCTGCCTTTCTGTCTTTCTGTCTTTCTTGACAGAGTCTCACTCTGTTGCCCAGGCTGGAGTGCAGTGGCACGATTTTAGCTCACTGCAACCTCCACCTCCTGGGTTCAAGCATTTCTCCTGCCTCAGCCTCCTGAGTAGCTGGGATTACAGGCACCCGCCACCACACCCGACTAATTTTTGTACTTTTAGTAGAGACGGGGTTTCACCATGTTGGCTGGGCTGGTCTTGAACTCCGGACCTCAAGTGATCCGCCCACCTCAGACTCCCAAAGTGCTGGGATTACAGGCATGAGCCACCATGCCTGGCTAGTATTTTTTCTTTCTGTAATTCAGAGTGGGGGGCATTTCAGCTGAACTGTCTTCAAACTTACTAATTCTTTCCTCTTTTATCTTCATTGTGATAATGAGCCCATCCTGTGAAATTTTTCTTTCACATATTTTCCAATTCTAAAATTTTTATTTATTTTTAGTTTCTTTTTCTCCACTGAGAAGGTCTATCTTTCTGTTTAAGAATGTTTCGTTTGCCTGTGGAAGATGGTTATAATACCTGTTTTAAATTGTCAGATAATTTCAATATCTGAGTCTTCTGTGTATATGTATCTATTGATTATTTTTTCTCATGAGAATTCATAAGATTTTCCTGGTTCTTTGTATGTCCGGTAATTTTTAATTATATCCTGGATGTTTTTAATGTCATGTTCTGACACTCTGGGTTCTGTTAAAATCCTTTGGAAATGGAATTATTTTTGTTGTTGTTTTTACCAGTTATTAAACTGGTTAGATTCAGACTGTAAGTTTTATCTTACTTTCTATTGGCGTTGGTTTCCACGTCAGTTAAGTTTTCAAAGCCTCTGCTATGCTATTTGAGTCTTTCTGATGCATGTGCTACTCATAGTTAGTCTGGAAATTGCACAGTGGTTTATATTGTAGTTCATTGTCAGAAGCTTTCACTGGGCTTCTTTGGGTCTGTTTCACATATACATTGCTTGGAGGTGAACCCTAGCCTTGTGTTACTTCATACACAATTAGAGGGTCACCTTCTCCTATTCTTCAGAATTTCCTTCACACTGTCTGGCTACCTGAAGCCCCCCATTTTGGTTTCTCTGGCCAGAAAGACAGATTTCTCCCAGGTCTTAGTCGCCACCATGTTATTCATTTCCAGGTGACTGTGGCCACCATTGGGTCAAACTGGCAAGAGAAAACATTAAAAAAAAATATTAATAACGGGCTGGGTGCAGAGTGGCTCATGCCTGTAATCCCAGCACTTTGGGAGGCCGAGGCGGGCAGATCACCTGAGGTCAGGAGTTCGAGACCAATCTGGCCAGCATGGTGAAACACTGTCTCTACTAAAAATACAAAAATTAGCTGAGCATGGTGGCACGCGCCTGTGATCCCAGGTACTCGGGAGGCTGAGGCATGAGAATCACTTGAACCTGGGAGGCGGAGATTGCAGTGAGCCGAGATCGTGCCACTGCACTCCAGCCTGGGTGATAAGAGCAAGACTCCATCTCAAAAAATAGTAATAATAATAATAGAGATTACCCACATCCACACTCTTCAGACAGCAGTCTCCCTTTCCCAGTTCCTCTGTTGGAGAAGCAGGTCTTGTCTTGGAGTTTTAGGTGCTTGTGCCACTCACCCTGACAGTGCCACTCCACAGCTGGGGCTACCTTTTGGCCAGGAACAGAAGAGAGAAAAGAGTGGGGGACAAAACAACCAAGGATTTTCCTGTAAACACCCTATCCTACAGGGACTTTACCAGACTAGTAGTAGGAGCTTTCTTCCAGAAGTTTTGCTTCCTATGCCTACTAAACAGATCAATGTTTTACCCCCAAATCAAAACCAGGAGACAAAGGAGGTAAAAATGGAACTAAAATTCATCTCCATTTCAGATTATTAATCAAGTTGACTAGTTCCCAGTCCACCTATCATTGTTTATTTTTCTGAGTTGCTCTTTGTATTCTGACCAGAGTTGCGTTGTGTTGTTTTGTGTTGTGTTGTTTTTGTTTTTGTTTTTGTTTTACTTTTAAGTTCTGGGATACATGTGCAGAATGTGCAGGTTTGTTACCTAGGTATACATGTGCCATGGTGGTTTGCTGCACCTTTCAACCCATCATCTAGGTTTTAAGCCCCACATGCATTAGGTATTTGTGCTAATGTCTCCCTCCCCTTGCCCACCATCCCCTGACAGGCCCCAGTGTGTGATGTTCTCCTCCCTGTGTCCATGTGTTCTCATTGTTCAGCTCCCACTTGTGAGTGAGAACACGTGGTGTTTGGTTTTCTGTTCATTAGTTTGCCTAGAATAATGGCTTCCAGCTCATCCGTGTCCCTGCAAAGGACACGAACTCATTCTTTTTCATGGCTGCATAGTATTCCGTGGTGTATACAGTATCCAATCTATCACAGTATCCAGTCTATCGTTGATGGGCATTTGGGTTGATTCCAAGTCTTTGCTGTTGCAAATAGTACTGCAATAAACATGTGTTCATGTGTCTTTATAAAGTAGAATGATTTCAAATCCTTTGGGTACATACCCAGTAATGGGATTGCTGGGTCAAATGCTTTTCTGATTCTACATTCTTGAGAAATCGCCACACTGTCTTCGCAATGGTTGAACTAATTGACACTCCCACCAACAATGTAAAAGCATTCCTGTTTCTCCACAGCCTTGCTAGCATCTGTTGTTTCCTGACTTCTTAATAATTGCCATTTTAAGTGGCATAAGGTGGTATCTCATTGTGGTTTTTATTTACATTTCTCTAATGACCACTAATGATGAGCTTTTTTCCATATGTTTGTTGGCTGCATAAATTTTTAATTTGTACTGTGGGAGGCTGAGAAGGGAGGATCACTTGAGCTTAAGAGTTCGAGACCAGTCTGGGCAATACAGCGAGACCTCATCTGTAATAAAAAACAAAAAATCAGCTGGATATGATGGTGCATGCCTGTGGTCCCAGTTACATAGTTGGCTGAGGCAGGAGAATCTCTTGAGCCTGAGAGATCAAGGCAGCAGTGAGCTATGATTATACCACTGCCTTCCAACCTGGGTGACAGAGCAAGACCTTGTCTCATAAATAAATAAATAAATAAATAACACTAACAATGACTGAAACATCATAAAATAGATCTGGTTGTCACTGGTATTTAAGTGTTTTCCTATATCTGACTATATTAATGTACTTCCATTGACAATTATGCCTTCACTATGCTTCCACCCTCAAGAGGATCTACTAGTATGCAGCAGAGGAAGAGAAGATACCTGCCTTTAAGGCAGCCTGTACTTTATACATATGTGCACCTTTGTGAATACACCATTTAGAAGACCTAATACTGTCTCATTGATTTAAAACCAAGAATGTTGGTTGTGAATAAAAACATTTTAGAGATATTTTCTATTCCAGTCACTTTTTTCCTTCTAAGAACAAGTTTCTATTATGAGTCTCCTATGGGCACCCATGGAAGAATAATTTTTGTTGTTGTTTTTTGAGATGTCACCTGGCCTGCGGTTGCAGTGGCATGATCATGGCTCACTGCAGCCTCAACCTCGCCGGCTCAAGTGATCCTCCCAACTCAGCCTCCTGAGGAGCTGGGACTACAGGTGCGCACACCACTATGCCCAGCTAATTTTTCTTCTTTCTTTCTGTAGAGACAGAGTTTTGCCATGTTGCCCAGGCTGGTCTTGAGAATAAGTTCTTACATACTGATTTTTGCTGTATGCTGCTTCATGTTATTTTTATTTTGGCCATTAGCAAAGCAAAAAATGTATATATTTATATTTAGATATATCATCATTTCTGTAATTTTAAAGTTGACTTTCATTTATCAGTGAGTGAATAAACCACTTTTCAAAATGTTCTTACTGTTGACAAGAACTGATGTTTGTTGTGTGCTTCTCTGAACCAGTACTAAGCTAAGTGTGACACATGGTTTATCTCATTTAATTCTCTCAAACATCCTGTAAGTTAGGTGCTGTTATTACCCTGATTCTACAAGTGAATTTGTTGAAATTTGGAGAGACATTGATCAGTTATAGCTGTTCATTTGACATCTCATTTCTTTACCAGTATTGAAACTGTCAACATAAGATTAAAACATTTCCTTTTTTCTTCCTCCCTGCCACACACCAAGGAAATTGAGATGCCTGGAAAACTGAACCAATTTTTCATGGTACATTCAAGGATTAAAAGACTTAGTGGATTTATAGTTGCTAAAACCTGGAGTGCAGTCCTTATTGATACCTGAACGAGTTTTTCATGTAAAATTGCTTACGTGTCAGGTGATTCTGTTTCATTTCTCTTAGGTTATAGAGGAACTCTTCAAGGCTACAACAATGATGGTTCTCTCAAATTGTCCTGAAGATGTTGAACTCTGTCACAAATTCATAGCTCCTGGCCAAAAGGTAATTAGTTTTGTGGATAAAGCCCAATACATCTACTGTTTAATGTGTTAATTATACATAATGAATAAAATTGTATTTTTAAAATTTATTTTTTGTCTTCTTTTTATTAAGGACAGATTAGAACATATGCTAAAAAACAACTTTTTAATGTAAGTAGATGTTATACTTTCTTTGAACTTTATTCATTCTTTATCACTGTATTCTTCACACTATATTATAATTTTTTTAATTTATATCTGCTTATATAGATCCTATATATATAGTGTATATATATAGACACTCCCCAGATTCCAGGCAAGATCCATGTTCTAATTATTTTTATAGCTCTTATGTTTGGTTCATAATTGATAATCAGTGTTTCATCAATAAATTAATAAATCATAGCAAGATAAAAATCTAGTAATTATTAACTATTATAACTATAATTCAAACTTGCACTAAACAAACTGTAAAAAACATGCTCGGTGTAAGTTACAGCAAGACAGGAATTCAGGAACAGAAAACTAAAAGATTACCACAGTGATCAGTGTGAGAGTTAATGATGATTTAGACTGTGTATTAGGGTTCTCCAGAGAAACATGACCAGCCAAGTTTGAGGGCGGGGTGTGTGTGTGGAGAGAGAGAGAGAGAGAGATTGAGAGGTTTATTGTAAAGAATTGGCTCACGTAATTGTAGAGGCTTGTTGCGTTTAAAATCTAAGGGAGTAGGACAAGCTGGAGAATCAAGAAAGAGTTGCCATTCAAGTCCAAAGGCGGTCTCCTGGCAGAATTCCTTCTTTTTCAGGGGGAGATTAGTCTTTGTCTTAGTAAAAACTTCAACTAATTGGATTTAGACCACCCACATTATGAAGGGTAATATAATCTGCTTTTTTCAAAGTCCATTGATTTAGACATTAATTTCATCCAAAAAACACCTTCATAGAAGCATTCAGAATACTATTTGACCAAATAGCTGGGCACCATGGCCCAGCCAAGTTGACACATAAAATTAACCATCACAGACCAGGATGGTGGCAAGAGCTCCTATTCTGAATATATTTTAGAGATAGAACAAACAGGATTTACTGAGGGCGAGAGAGAGGAGTTAAGGGTACCTTCAATGTGTTTTTTTCTCCTACAGCTGCAAAAATAAAGTTGCCATTAACTGAAGTTGGGAAATCCTTAAGAGAGTACTGGGGCAGGAGCTTTGAGAGGAAGGGGTGGTATCAGGAACACAAACATTAAGATTGAGATGCTTTTCAGACATCCAGCCGTAGATGTTGGATAGGCAACTGAAAGTGTGGGTCTGGAGTTTTATAAGATAGTCTTGGGCATGAGTATATTGATAAAAGTGGTCATTAAGTAGATGAGGAAAGAAGTAATTTGGCCTTCTCAAGGAGTCTCTGCTGGTGACCGAACAACCAGGGAAGGATCTTAGTTTTCCAGCTCCTATCTAATGAAAAGATTCAAAATGCAGAAATAATATTCACGATTTGTTGAATATTTACCGAGACAGTGATAAAATTTACATACATTAGTAGCTCATTTTATCTTCACAACTCCAAGTAGTTATTATTCTCATTCTACAGATTGAGAATCCCTGCAAAGAGGTTGAGTAAAAGATGAAATGGTGATTCAAGCTCATGTTCATCTGATTTCAGAGCTCAGACTTTTAACCTGAGGTTTTCATATATTTGGAAGGGCACTGGAATGGTAGAGTGGTTGTAGCTGCCCCACTATCCTTACGACTCTTACATGTCACTTAACTCTTGTGCTTTCGAGTCCTTTTCCGTAAAATGTTAAGGTTGGAAAATGTCCTCTTGGGCTGTGCCATTTCAATCATTGTCATTGTCACAATCCATTCTGCATACTACAAGTCATAGTTGCAGTTTAAATTTGTGGAGAGAGGAACATCAGCAAGATGGTGAATAGAAGGTCCCAGCCTTCACCACAGAAAGTCCATTTGGCAACTAGTCACATACAAGAACATCTTTGTGAAAATCCCAAAACTTGGGAATGAAGTTGAGACACCCAGATGGACCACAGAACAAAAAGTGCATTAGAAGGGTAGGAGCAATGGCCTCAATTTGATTGAATCCTCCCTCCCCTAAGTAGGCACAGCACCACACAGAAGATTCCCCTGGGCACACAGTTAATACAGTGGAAAAAGAGACAGCTATCCAATTTCCCCAGCATTCTTTGATGCTTCCTAGGAGGCCCATTCCTGTCTCACAGGGAACCCTGGGGGTAAGGTCTGGACTACCAGGAGTCAAGTAGGAACAAAGGAGTGGGGCAGTGCTCACAGCAACCAGCACACGGATCTTGGTGATGGCTGTGTTCCTGCCAGCAGGAGCACCTGATCAGAGATACCAGCCAGTGGCATAGCCCATTTACAAAGCCCAGCTGGCTGCTGCAGAAACTCAGTAGGAAAGTCTATCTGGTTTGAGCCCCTGCAGGGCAGCCACCCCATCTAGCCTCAGCATCCACCCCTATGCTTTGCTCAGACAGGCAGACATCACAAATGTTTTACATTTGTGTAAGATACAAATGGCCAATAGGTTTATCAAAAAGTGTCCAACATCACTAATTAATAAAATGCAAATTAAAATCACAGCGAGATATCCCCTCACACCTGTTAGGATGGCTGTTATCAAAAAGTAGAATGAGACAACGTTGGCTCATGCCTGTAGTCTTAGCACTTTGGGAGGCTGAGGTGGGAGGATCCCTTAAGCCCGGGAATTCAAGACCAGCCTGGCCAACATAGTGAGACCTTGTCTTTACAAAAATAAAATAAAATAAATTAGCCAGGTGTGGTGACACGTGCCTGTAGTGCCAGCTACTCAGGAGGCTAAGGTGGGAGGATTGCTTAAGCCCAGGAGGTTGAGGCTGCAGTGAGCTGTGATCACAGACACTGCTGTACTCCAGCCTGGGAGACAGAGCAAGACTTTGTATCAAAAAAAAAAAAAAAAAAAAGTCAAATGATAACAGGTGTTGGCAAAGATGTGGCACTTGGGAACCCTTGTATACTGTTAGTGGGAATGTAAATTAGAAGAGCTGTTACGGAGGATAGTATGGGAGATTTCTCAAAAAACTAAAAGCATATTTACCATATGATTCAGCAGTCCTACCTCTGGGTACGTATCCAGAACTGAAGTCAGTATGTCAAAGAGATATCTGCACTTACATGTTCTTTGCAGGACTATTCATAGTAGCCAAGATACGGAATCAACCTAAGTGTCCATCAGTGGATGACTGGATAAAGTAAATGTGTGTGTACACAGTGGAATACTATTCAAAGGAAATCTTATTTGTGACAACATGGATCAACCTGGGAGACTTAATGCTAAGTGAAAGAAGCTAGGCATGGAAAGACAAGTACTGCATTGATTCACTTTGATGTGAAATGTTATAAAGTTACACTTAGAGAAGTAGTGAGTAGAATGGTAGTTACCAGTGGCAGGTGAGGGGTTCTTGAAGGGAATGGAAAGAAATTGACCAAGGGGTACAAAGTTTCATTTAGATCAGAGGAGTAAGTTTTCAGGATTTACTGCGTAACAAAGTGACCATACTTAATTGTAACGTATATCTCAAAATTGCTGAAGGAGTAGATTTTAAATCTTCTCACTGCAAAAAAAAAAAAAAAAAAATGAAGCATGCGAGGCGATAGATATGTTAAATACCTTGATATATTCATTCCACAGTGTATAATACCAAAATCACATCGTATCCTGTAAATACACAAACTAGTTATTTGTCAATGAAAAATTCAAACATTTTAAAATAAATGTATATGTGTGATTATTTGTTTGGTGTCTACTACCTCTATGAGGTCAGAGGCTGTGTTTAAATTGCTTACTATTATGCCCCTAGGACTTAGCACAGTGCCTCTAATAGACATTCAGTAAATACTGAGTAATTGAGTGCACAAACAAATGACTTGAGTAACAGTGGCTGTAAAGGTTTTCTTCTTTAGGCTGGATTCTCTCCTCAGGTTTCTTATTGGCTCATATCACTATTTACTTCAGTCACTGAGGGTTGTGAACCATGATTCAGCGAACCTGGATTGTAATCCTGGCCCTACCATTTACTAGCCATTAATGAGTAAATTAATATTTTTTAACAAATATTTATTAACTGCCTAATATGAGTTAGGCACTTTGCTAGTTGTTGAGAATAATGAAAACAAACATCTATTTATTTTTTTATGGAGTTTAAAATCTAGAGAAAAAGATGAACAATTAAATATTTATATGAATAATTTAATTACAACTATGACCTTGATGAATAGTGAATCTTTCACTTTTCTGAACTTCAGTTTCCACATCTATAAAAAATACTCTGTCATATTGTTGAAAGGATTTAATAACGATACTGTTAAAAGCAATATGTCAGACTAGATAATTTGAAAACACCCTTGCTACGAAACTTCTAAAAATAATACTTAAAATATTATAAGATTCTTTTAAATATGTTGTTGAATTCACTAGAAAGGAGGAGAAGTTCCAGGTGCTAGAAATGAAGAAGGAACCAAGCACCAGAGTGATATGCACAGTTGGTGTGATGCTGAGGATTCTCAGGGTGTAGGGTAGGGAAACTGGAGGGCAATTTTCCATTCTTTGAAACCAGAGGTTTTAACAGCAATGAGAGGACATGAGAATAGACATAGCAGAATGAATTAGAATCAAGATATCCCCGCAAATGCACACACATATACACAAAGCTAGAACTGGCCAAGGACTACACCCTTAATGAAAGGACCAATTAGAAAATAAGCAAACAAACAGAAAATTGAGCTAGCCAGTGTAGAGAATTTACAGAGAAGTGTAGAAGTATATATGCTTTAGCCTGGGCTTAAGGATAGAGACAAAACAGAAATAGTCTCCATTGAGAATTTGCAGCCACAGTTGGCCCTTAAGTGAGCCTAGAGTTTGAATTTCTGTTTCCTGTGTAGTTCAAGAATCTTCGTGCTAGGGCATTAAAATAAAAATTTTCAGTTAGTGATAACACAGGAGTAGCTGTAGAAACTAATATAAAACCAATCTTGAAGTTTGTACCCTCAACCCAAGTGGCATGATATTCCCAAAACAAACTGTACTTAAGATAATCTCAGTCCAAATACACAGGGAAATACCTACCATGAGGAAGAACAGCAGACATAACAAACAGCATTAGATTCCCAAGAAGTTCAAAGGACAGTAATGACAATAGATTGACAAAATAGTATCTTCACATAGTTGAAAGAAAATACCTGTTACCTTAGAACTGAAATACTGGGCAGCAATAACTTGTAAAACTGAAGAGGTACGTTCATAGTTGAAATGTTAGTCCTTGTGTTGTTTGGAAGGAAGAGAGAGAAACTGGTGAACTGTAGACTTTTTTTTTTTTTTTTTTTTTAAAGAGATAGGACGTCGCTCTGTCGTCCAGGCTGGAGGGCAGTGGTGTGATCATAGCTCACTGCAGGCTTGAACTCCTGGGCTCAAGCGATCCCTCCTGCCTCAGCCTTCTGAGTAACTGAGACAACTGGTGCAGGCCACCACACCCAGCTGCTTTAGACTGTTAAGTCAGATATGCGTGTTAAAATATGCAAGGTAGCCACTAAAAAAAAGCATAATGAGATGGTGCTGGTCCGATGACAGTGATTATTAAGTCAGCAACATCAGAGGTATCAAGTCGACAAACAGGTTGTGTGGTGGTGCCCTCTGTACCACCTTGGCATCACCTCTCTGCTGTTTCATGCTTTTTAAGGCATTGACGCTGAAATTTCTGAAAATACTGGTGTAGCTGAATCTACTGTTGAGTGAATCCTAAAAACAGTAAAGAGAAAAGAAAAAACAGGGAAACAAGGAGAAAAAAACAGGGAAACAGGGAGAAAAGAAAAAAAGACAAACTTTTGTTTTATGCTTATGTAGACTGCACTGTTAATTATTGAATCTGTATAGATACCATGTGGCTTGTATTCTTTTGAGTAGATTTCAGTATATTTTTCACTACCTGTTATAATTATTTTATATGAAAATGTGCTATTTCAGCAACTCGTGTAGTAATTGAATTTAGCCTTTATGCAGAAATTGTATTCAGTTTATTTTACATTTCCTTTATATTATTGTGTTTCTGAAAATAGTATTTAACCTTTTTTATTTGCTCTTCATTTATCTTTCTGTGTGAATTTGAGGCAAAGGATGACAATAATTATCTTTGTAGTTTAGCAATTTTACTCCAACAGCTTCAGAATAATGAATTTTCTTTATTCAACAATGAAAAATGTGAAATATGAAGGTAGTTTGATGCCATATCATTCTCTATCGCAATGTTTTTTCCTCCTTTCCTCAAAGCACTTTGGAAACAGTTTCTGGAAAGAAGAAGAGATATTATTTTCTATATATATCAAGAAAAATACTTAGTGGAGAGAGTTGATGGAAGCCATTAAGGATATCAAATGTCAGAACTGTAATTTGAACTTGAAAGTTCTGCCCCTAATGAAGGTATTGGGGTGTGGAGTGGAAGACGTGGAATAATGAGATATTTAGACATGAGAGCCATTTCTTAATAATGAAACAGTAACATACCAATGGTACAAAATCTACTGCTTATTATTTTGACTGCTCTTATATTTCTCAGTGTGATTGGTAGATCTTACCAAGTAATCGATATAATAGAACGATAGAATGCCTAAGCAGAAAAGAACTTTATACAAGATAGTTCAATATCCTTATTTTATAAGTGCAAATAATTTTTAAATGTTTGTATAACACATTACAAAAATTAATAACATGCTTTCACAACGTTGAAGTGACTTACATAGCTAGTAGTAGAATCAGATTAAGTGGTAGAATCAGATGAAGAACCCAGAGCCCATTTTCTTTTGTTTTGATGGAACATATGAAACTCCAAGTGTTTTAGGCATTATCTTAGCCATTAAAAGTGTATACTCTGGAGTCAGCAGATCAAGATTTACTATATACTTACATGAGTAACCTTTGGAAAGTTATTGATCTCTCTAACCGTCTGCTTCCCTTCTGTAAAATGCTAATTTTAAAATCATTGTTACTGCTACTACCAACACAACTAGCGCCACCATTACTACCTTAAAAATTACCTATTATTAATACTAGATTTTAATATGAATAGATTTTCCATCTTAGGAAAAACCTATCTTTCAAAACATAGCTTTAGGGGCTTTTTTGTACTGTATGACACAGTACAACTCTTTCTGATTAGTTGTTATGTATATGAACTTCATTTTCGCTTCAGAGAATAAGTTTGTGCTGGATAAATTATTTTTTGAGCTCAAAAGTCTTTCAGAAAGTTTGTAGATTTTTTGTTAAAAAAAAAAAAAAAAAAGCCATACTGATGCAGTATTTTACCTACAGTTTACAAGCAAACTGACACTTTCATGTTACTGGTGGGTATACATTGATATAAAAGGGGCAATATCTTTGGCAAAACCTTTCAGAAAATATAAAAATTGCAAATTTTCATCTAACAATTCCACTTTTGCCATGTGACAAATTAGTGTATGATAACTATTTGTAATAATATTAAACGGGTATATATAGGCATGTTTTATAATAGCAAAAGATTAGAATGTGAAATGTCAGGTCACTGGTTAAACTAATTATGATACATCCACAAAATGGAATATTATACAAAAAGTGAAGAATTTCTTTATATACACACAGAAAGATCTACAAGGTATATTACTCTGTACAATTAAGTGTGAAAGAGTGTGTATGATATGTATGACATCTATAAAAAAGGAAGATTGTGTATTATTTACATATCTATATAAATAAAATCCTCTAGAGGGATATTCACAATACCGGTAACAGTGATTGTGTGAAAGGAAAGGAACTAGGTGTCTCTGGAACCGCAATGGAAGGGAAATGTATATTCTTTTATACATCTTGATTTTTTTTTTAACTATGTAGATAAGTTACCTATTTACATAGTTAAATTAAAAGAAACACTTGCTTTGACTTACTTTAGGCATGAGGGTGTCTCGTTGAGAGAATCAGTATCTTCCTAAATAGTCTTATAATGCTTAGAATACATTACCAGGCCCTTAGTATGACCTGAAAGACTCCATGTGATCTGACTTCTGACTGCCTTTCTTATGTAATTTCCTGTGCATGATTCCTCTTGTTCAGCATGCTCTAGTCACACTGACTGCCCTTTTTGTTCCATGAACAAGCCAAACTGTTTCTCACTTCAGATCCTTGTACTTGTTGTTCCTTTTGCCTGGAATACTCCTCCCAAGAGACTTCTGTGGTTCATTTCCTTACTCGATGCACACTTCTGTTCAGATGTCAGAAACTTAGGCCTTTCTTGACCATCATATCTGAAATGGCACCCCAAACCCCCTCTGTCTTCTTACTCCTCTTTATTTTTCTTCACAGCACTAATGGCTACCCATTTATACTAATATATTACGATTATCTTAGTAATACACTATTATATTATACTATACTATACTAATATACTATGAGATATTATACTAATAGCTACCTGATGTTTGCTCTGTCTACTCTTTCCTCACCTGCATCTTCGCTCTTTCTTTCTCTCACAGACACACACACACACACACACACACACACACACACACACACGCATGCACGAACGTTGGCTCCATGAAGGCTGATGATTTTTTGTTTGTTTGTTTGTTTTGTTTTTTGAAACGGAGTCTCGCTCTGTTGCCCAGGCTGGAGTGCAGTGGTGCGATCTCGGCTCACTGCAAGCTCCGCCTCCTGAATTCACACCATTCTCCTGCCTCAGCCTCCCTAGTAGCTGGGACTACAGGCGCCGGCCACCACGCCTGGCTAATTTTTTTTTTGCATTTTTAGTAGAGACGGGGTTTCACCGTGTTAACCAGGATGGTCTCGATCTCCTGACTTTGTGATCCACCCGCCTCGGCCTCCCAAAGTGCTGGAATTACAGGCGTGAGCCACCGCACCCGGCCCTGAGCTTTATTTTTATCTGCAGTGTCTAGAATTATGTGTAGTGCCTAGTAGGTGCCAAGTATATGTCTGTTGGATAAATAAATGAATTAATCGTGAATTTTAGGAGAAAGTCTTTTGCTGTTGTAGTCTCAGTATTTCATACGTTTTATTAGGGCATTGGCATATCTTGGATTCAGAGAATAGTCTTTCCTTGCTTAAGTGACTAGCTTCGCTGTGTATATTGCAAGTAGATGAGGAGTGAGGTTATTGAATGGTTATTGAATGGTTACTTCTTTTCAGGCAGATCTGACTTTTATAGGATTAGATCAGCCTTAATTCCTGATTATTCAGTATTCCCTCATGACCTCACAGTGTGATATAGGAGTAGGCTTTTTCTGGTTTTAAAATGAACTAGTTAACAGCAGCCCAATTGTATTGACTTTTCTCTGCTTGTATCCTGTTTTCCTCCAGCATTTCTTATACTGAAGCAGTGGAGATCTTAAAGCAAGCATCCCAGAACTTCACCTTCACCCCAGAGGTAGTATTTTGTGTGTATATATATATGTGTGTGTGAAAATGCTTCCTTCTTGTCTTTAGCTTACTTTATTAAGAATCCTTCAAAATCATCTTATTTCTGTTATTAGCAAAATATGGTATTTGCTCATTTGTACACAGACTTACAGATTTTATTTGATATTTGCTCAATCTTGTTGAGATACTTAAAACAGAATTAATTTAGAATAAAAATAAATTGTATCATTTGGAATAGCAGTGACTAAGGGGTTATAAAGGAGAATCCCATGTTTAGGAAGATGAAAATTCTAAAAAAGAAAGATAATCTGGCCGGGCGCGGTGGCTCAAGCCTGTAATCCCAGCACTTTGGGAGGCCGAGGCGGGTGGATCACGAGGTCAGGAGATCGAGACCATCCTGGCTAACATGGTGAAACCCCGTCTCTACTAAAAATACAAAAAACTAGCCGGGCGTGGTGGCGGGCGCCTGTAGTCCCAGCTACTCGGAGGCTGAGGCAGGAGAATGGCGTGAACCTGGGAGACGGAGCTTGCAGTGAGCCGAGATCGCGCCACTGCACTCCAGTCTGGGTGACACAGCGCGAGACTCCGTCTCAAAAAAAAAAGAAAGAAAGATAATCATAGACTATTACTTTAGAGGCCAGTTGTTGGGGCTCATGTCTATAATTCCAGCACTTTGGGAGGCCAAGGCAGGCAGATTGCTTGAGCCCCAAAGTTCAAGACCAGGCTGGGCAATATAGTGAGACCCTGTCTCTACCCCCACAAAAAAAAAAAAAAAAGTGAATTTAAAAAAAAATAATATTACTGTAGAAGTCAACTAATTCTGTGTTTTCCAAAGTATATTCTGAATGACATTAAAAGATGACCAACGAAGGAAGCTATATTATCAAATAAATTTAGGCAACATAACTAAACAGGTTTTTTGGTTTTTTTTTTTCTTTTTCCAGATTTAGTGCTTGCAGAAACAGGTTTGTTTTTCAGTTGAACTTTATAGAGCCTTTTAGTTTGTGAGCCACTCTGGAAAAACACTGGGGTGTTTTTGTTTTGTTTTGCTTTTAAAGAACTTTATATTTAAGAGATGAAGGTCTCATTATGTTGCCCGAGCTCATCTTGAACTCCTGGGCCCAAGGGATCCCCCATTTCAGCCTCCCAAGTAACTGGGACTATAGGAGCATGCCTCAGTACCCAGCCAAGAATTCTTTTTTTTTTTTTTTCCAAAAATTACTTGATAAAGATTGTATAGGCCGGGTGTGATAGTTCACACCTGTAATCCCAACACTTTAAGAGGCTGAGGTAGGCGGATTGCTTGAGCCTAGGAGTTTAAGATTGCAGTGAGCCATGATCGACTGCAGCCTTCCAGCCTAGGTGACAGAGAAAGACCTTGTCTCTAAGAACAACAACAAAAGAAGATTATATATATTCAGGGTATACAGCATGATGATTTGATACACGTATACATTGTGTAATAAATTATTACAGTCAAATTAGTTAACACGTCTGTCACTACCCACACTGTACATTAGATCCCCAGAACTTGTTCGTCTTATAACTGAAAGTGTGTACACTTTGATCAGTATCCCCTCATTTGCCCCATTCCCAGACCCCTGACAACCACTGTACAACTCTGTCTTTCTGTGAAGGAACTCCTTTATTTTATTATTTATTTTTTTATTTATTTATTTATTTATTTATTTTTTGAAAGACAGGATCTCTCTGTGTTGCCGAGGCTGGAGTGCAGTGGTACAAACATGGCTCACTGCAGATTCCACCTCCCAGACTCACATCAGTCCTCCCAACTCAGTCTCCCAAGTATATGGGACTACAGGTGCGTGCCACCAGGCCTGGCTGATTTTTTTATTTTTTGTAGAGACAGGGTTATGTTGCCTAGGCTAGTCTCGAGCGTCTGTGCTCAAGCACTCCTCAGCTTCCCAAAGTGCTGGGATTAAAGGCATGAGCCACCGTCCCCAGCTAAAGCTTTTTTATTTTATTGGCAATGATACAGGTCCAGAAGACCACATGATCTGTCAGTGGGCATGTGTATAGTGTTGGAGGCAAAACTCTTTGTTCCTATTTGAATTATTTTTTTCCTATAACTAAGATATTGCCAAACAATTGGTAGTAATAAGATAATGTTAACCTTTGTGTTTAAACTATTCCTTGTACCAGTTCAATCCCAATTAAGTTAGGTCTTTATATATTACAAAAGTAACCTGTGCTTGTTATATTTATAATCAGTTCTTGTGTAAGTTTTCATTTCTTTGTCTCCTATGCTGGAAGCTTCATGAAGTCAGGGATTATAACTATTTTTCTTACCACTTTATCCAGTATATCATATGGTACCTGGAATTTAATAGGCACATTAGTATTTGCTTAATAAATATATTGAACAGAGTTAATAAATATTCATCAAAGAGCATCTCACACATGAGTTGATTCTTTTTATTTAAAAAGAAGTCACCAGCCGGGCACTGTGGCTCACACCTGTAATCCCAGCACTTTGGGAGGCCAAGGTGGGCAAATCACAAGGTCAGCAGTTCAAGACCAGCCTGGCCAACATAGTGAAACCCCATCTCTACTAAAAATACAAAAAAAAAAAAAATAGCCAGGCATGGTGGCGGGCGCCTGAAGTCCCGGCTACGTGGGAGGCTGAAGCAGGAGAATCACATGAACCCGGGAGGCGGAGGTTGCAGTGAGCCGAGATTGTGCCACTGTACTCCAGCCTGGGCGACACAGCCAGACTCTGTCTCAAAAAAAAAAAAAAAAGCCACCAAGAGAAGTCATTTAGCCAAAGATAGGCTCAATATTAGGATTATTATCTTCTGTCATTTAATTTCCCAAGACTTAGGAACAGTTACTGTGGAAGAAGCGTAAGGCACTATTAAAAACTGATTCTGAAGTCAGAATTTTTTATCCCATTGTAAAGTAGACTTTGTTTTCCTGCAGGTGCTGTATTATCTGCTCCTGGGAGGTGAGGGTAGGGGACCAATGGGGACACAGAAAGCAGTGTTTATCTACTGGCCTCAGCTTTCATCTTTCCAGGCCTGTAGGTGTTCTTGTTAACAAATAGGTCTCTCTGGTTTAGTCAGCTGTGTAACCTTAGCAGCTCGCTCCACACATGGAGCCTTAGGAAGATGAAGCCCTTGGAATTGATGCAGGTTATTTTCACGTGCTTAATTGTATATTTCACCTCTGTCTTCTCTTTTGGTCATTTCTTTCTTCTCATTACAGTGGGGTATTAATCTACAAACTGAACATGAAAAGTACCTGGTGAAGCACTGTGGCAACATACCTGTCTTCATTATTAATTATCCATTAGCAATCAAGCCTTTCTACATGAGGGATAATGAAGATGGCCCTCAGCACACAGTAAGAAGAGATACTAAATAAATTGGGGCTAGTCCTCTTGGGGTGGGTTTTTCATTTAGCCTTTGGGATCTTTTCTTAAATGTCATCTATCACTCTTTTTATCTCTTAAAATGATAAAGTTTTTCAAAGGCGTCTCTTAAAAATTATTCCAAAAAAAGATCCCAGTGTTCTATAAACATACTTCCTCATTTCTGTCACAAGGTCTTCTTCTTAGTTTAGCAGGTGCAAGTTCTTTGTTTCGTTTCGTTTTGTTTCGTTTTGTTTTGTTTTTTAATGACTGAGAGGAAGTGGCCTAGAACACTGTATGGCTATACTAAGTCTAGTTAGTCTGTGGTTAAGTACTGGTTAGGAGACTCCTAGGAGGCAAGGCATGCTGGGCAAGAGATGACAGCAGTGGCACAGTCAGGTAAAGGAAAAGCTGGTTTGGCAGAGCAGGAGGCTTAGACTGCTTTGGTTTGGACTCTCAAATAGAAATAGCAAGGGGAGGGCTATGAAGGTATCCAGGCAGTCTGGGCAGATTTTCCCTGTCTTAGCTCTTGTCTGACTGTCTCTTCTCTATCTGCCTGTCTTGTCTATCCTGTTTCTTGCCTGTCTTTACCGTTTCTTGTCCTGTGTTCTTTTTTTGCCCTTAACTATAGTTGTCTTTCTTTTTTTTTTTTTTTTTGAGATAGAATTTCGCTCTTGTCATCCAGGCTGGAGTACAATGGTGCGATCTTGGCTCACTGCAACCTCCGCCTCCCAGGTTCAAGTGATTCTCCTGCCTCAGCCTCCCGAGTAGCTGGGATTATAGTCGTGTGCCGCCACACCCAGCAAATTTTTGTCTTTTTAGTAGAGACAGGGTTTCACTGTGTTGGCCAGGCTGGTCTCAAACTCCTGACCTCAGGTAATCTGCCCGCCTCAGCCTCCCAAAGTTCTTGGATTACAGGCATGAGCCACTGCACCTGGCCTGCCTTTTTTATTCTTTTGGTTTTTACAAAATTAGCTATAACATGACCTGGTGTGGTGGCTCATGTTTGTAATCCCAGCACTTTGGTAGTCCAAGGTGGGAAAATTGCTGAGACCAGGGATTCAAGACCAGCTTGGTCAACATAGGAATACCCTATCTCAACAAAAAATAAATTAGCCAGGAGTAGTGGCGTTCACCTGTAGTCCTATCTACTCAAGAGGATGAGGTGAGAGAATTACTCGAGGCTTCAGTGAGCCATAATGGTGTTACTGTGCTCTAGCTTGGGCAACAGAGGGAGCCCCCTATCTGAAAAACAAATAATTAAAGTTTAAAGTTGGCAATAATATAAAGTAAGAATATATTTTAACTTTCTAAATACTTAATGAATAGTTACATATATAATATTATTAGTTTTAAAAGTCTATGAGGCAGATTATATTGATTTCAAAATAGGCCCAAAAACTACACTTTACTGTCTGATGCTTTTCACTAACTTGTGGATAAATACTTACAAAAAATGTAGATTAAGGCCCACCAGTAAACCAAATGTCCCTGTCTTAGGTATACAAGGTTATCTGTTTGACTGTATTTCCTGTTTTCTCATATAGTATTAATACAACTGTATTGGCCACTGTTTACTAGATGCTTAGGAATCAAGCACTACTATCTCATCTCTAAATCCAGAAACAACTTTGCTAAGAAGCTTGTTTCCCCATTTTATAAGTGAAAAACTGGAATGCAGAGATTAATTGCATTTTCAAAGCTACATAGGTGGTAAGTAGTTAGTATTCACACCTGATTCCCTCTAGCTCTAAAGTCTGTATTTTTAAAATACGTATTTTTTTCCTAGACTGCAGATTTGGTTTTATAAAGTCTGTGTTCTTTTCCACTTCTTCCAACTGCCTAAAAATCACAAATAATATAAAATTGCCTTTTAGCCACCTTACTCATCCTCACCTTTCACACAGAATCATCTAAAACTAGTGAGCAACACAATTGATTTATGATTCTTATATTCTCTTTTTTCTACCAGCCCTCTAGTGTATTTGGCCCCCAGGTTGGCAGCAAAAAGGAGACATCAGGACCTAGATTATCTAGTCCTAAATAATTCAGTATTGAGCCTTTATAACAAAACAGACAACTATATCTCTTGGCTTTTTTTCATCACTCCAGCCTATCCCAATTCCAGCTCCACCTCCAACACACACACCATGTATTTTTCTCATTTAATTTCCCTCGATTGAGCATCTTTCAGTCACTCAATTTTGCACTTAAGTACTCTGCTTAAGACTTTCCTTCTCTATAAAGACTTTCCTGGGTTACCCAGCTACTTTGAGCCTTTCTTTTTTTGAATTTTTGTTGCATTTAGAGAATTAGCAAAACTGTAGCATTGTGTCTGTATTCTGTGTTCTCTTAATAAGTTTTGCTTGCTTTCTTTTCTTTTTTCTTTTCTTTTTTTTTTTTTTTAAAAGACAGAGTCTCACTCTGTCGCCCAGGCTGGAGAGCAGTGGCATGATCTCGGCTCATTGCAACCTCTGTCTCCCGGGTTCAAGCAGTTCTCCTGCCTCAGCCTGCCAAGTAGCTGGGACTGCAGATGCATGCCACCACCCCTGGCTAATTTTTTTTTTTTTTAGTAGAGACGGGATTTCACAGTGTTGCGCTCAGGCAGTCCATCCGCTTTGGCCTCCCAAAGTGCTTGGATTACAGGCGCGCAAGTTTTGCTTCTTAAACAAAACTTAACAACTTTAGGATGGGTATTGAATTTTTTTACCACCACAGCATCTCCCACTCATTCTATAGTCCTACTTCATTGTGGTTTCTACCCCATCACACCATTGAAGTAGCTCTTATTAGGATCAGTAATGATCTTCATATTATTAAATCCAGCAGACTTTTAAGTCTTTATTTTACTTGACCTGTCAGTGCTAATCAGCATTATTAATGACTTTGTTATTCTTATAACCCTCTCCTCCCTTGACTTCTGTGACATCACATTATCCCTGTTTTTCTCCTTTCTCAGCATTTATTCTTTCTTAGTCTCCTGTACAGATTTATCCATTTCTTTCTATTCATTAGATGTTGGAATTCCTCAAGGCCCAGTCCTTGGTGGTCTTTTTTTTCCTCATGTTATTTCATCTGTGTCTATTGCTTACTGTTTATTCTGTCAGAAGTTTTTATCTCTAATCCAGACTTATTCTCTGAGCTATAGACTCATCTACATTCTTCCCTCAGTATCCTCAGGGATTGGTTCCAGGATACCCTACCCACTGGCCCCCTCTCAGATACCAAAATTCAAGGATACTGAGTCCCTTATGTAAAATGATATGGTATGCATATAACCTATGCACATCCTCCTGTATGCTTTAAATAATTTATAGGTTACTTATAATACCTAATATAATGTAAATGCTATGTAAATAGTTGTTATACTGTATTGTTTAGGGAAATAATGGCAAGAAAAAACCTGTACATGGTAAGTACAGATACAACCATTTATTTGTTTTTCCTGAATATTTTAAATCTGCTGTTGGTTGAATCCACAAATACAGAACCTCTGAATACAGAGGGCTGATTGTATATCCTACTACCTCATTGACTGCCATTTACATATTTCAAAGGCATCTCAGATGCAACACATCCAGAACTGAACCTATGATTTCTCCTCTCCTCCCAGCAGATTTGATCTTCTTTCAGTATTCTGTATTCATCTAATTGTACATGCCAGATACCTGAGTCATCTCAGAAGTCTTCCTTTCTCATTTCCTCCATTGACTAAGTTCTGTCAGCTTTGCACTCCTAAATATCTCTCATATCCATTCATTTCTCTTCATTTCCTCTTTTACCTTTTCAGGTTAAGATATTGCCTAGACTACTTTAGTAGCGTCCTAACTGATCTTCATATATCCATTCTTTCTCTTCTGAATCAGTTCTCCCCATTTTAGTGTGAGTTTTTAGGAAATATAAATCCTGGCTGGGCACAGTGGCTCATGCATGTAATCCCTGCACTTTGGGAGCCTGAGGTGCACAGATCACTTGATCCCAGGAGTTCCAGACCAGCCTGGACAACATAATGAGACTCCATCTCCATTTAAAAAAAAAAAAGTTAACCCAATCATGTTGTCACTCTTCTTAAAGCCATTCAGTGGCCTCCTTTGCTCCTAGGATAAAAGCCAAAATCCTTTATGTCACCTACAATGCCCAGTAGAATGTGGCTGCATCTCCTTTTCTGGTGTGTTGTACCGTGGGGCTCCACTTTGTTCTCTCCTAACACCACCCTTCTTCTGTGTCTTCAGACATGCAGTGCTTTCTGTCACCTCAGACTCTTTGCTTATATTGTTCCTTCAATCTAGAACAGTCTTCTTCATCTAAATAATTTTACTTACTGATATTTATACTCAATCACCATTTCCTCAGAGAAACCTTTCTTGACCCTCTAGTCTGAGTCAGAGACCCCATTAGATGCTACAGTCTTACCATGTTAAGTTTCGCACCCAGAGATACTAACTCTTAATCCATCATAACCTTTAACAGTTGTAATTTTACATCTGTGTGCATGACTATTTAATTAATGACATTTTCCTCTATGTCAAAAGAAGTGAGGACTTCTGTATTAGTCCATTTTCATGCTGCTGATAAAGACATACCCAAGACTGGAAAGAAAAAGAAGTTTAATGGACTCACAGTTCCACATGGCTGGGGAGGCCTCAAAATCATGGCAGAAAGTGAAAGGCACATCTTACATGGCAGCGGCAAGAGATAATGAGAGAGAAGTGAAAGCAGAAACCCTTTATAAAACCATCCGATCATCTGGGCATGGTGGCTCACACCTGTAATCCCAGCACTTTGGGAGGCCGAGGCGGGCAGATCATCTGAGGTAGGGGGTTCAAGACCAGCCTGACCAACATGGAGAAACCCTGTCTCTACTGAAAATACAAAATTAGCCGGGCGTGGTGATGCACACCTGTAATCCCAGCTACTCAGGAGGCTGAGGCAGGAGAATCGCTTGAACCTTGGAGGGAGAGGTTGCAGTAAGCCGAGATTGCATCATTGTGCT